CCCAGTTTCGTACAAGTGGCACTCAGCTCTCTTTGCCCATGACCTAGCCCTCTTTGCTTCCCTCAGCAGCCCTCAAAGGCGTAAGCAGCCCCAACGTCACTTGCCAGGGCCGTATTGGCCCAGTTACCCAGACGGGCAGTAGGTGGCCCCCCTCAAAATTTCTTTAGAAATTTTCTAGTTCTGCGTATTATAGCTTATAGTTCTCCTCGCCACCCAAAACTTCGGCACCTAACTAGTCCCGCACGGTTTGGCGGATCGGGCCCAAAGTTGGCACACGCGTCGGGACCAATGGGGTGATGTGTGCTTGTATAAAACTTTCTCATTAGTCCGAAGGTTTGCGAATTATTAGCGAAAACGTCGCAAAAAAATCCCATAGGAAATGAATGGGGAGAGGTAAAAAAAAAGCATAAAAAACAGCGCCTCACTGTGTCGGCATACATTCACGTAGAAAAACAGTTTAAAGCTCAGTTTGTAGATAAATCCTTCGTCTGCAAAAAACTGAAGACGGCATGTTGATTACTGCTACGGTTTTTGTATAATCAGACCTCAAGCGCCACAAAGTTTTGGCAAAATCCACCCTTCTAGAGTGGAGCAACTGAAAATTTAGAGTGTGAGGCAGCCGTTTTTTTAAGACCAAAAAACATTTTAAAATCGCCCTCATAGCCACATATTTATAGCTAGAGTCACCATTTTTGGTCAGTTTGTAGACTGAAATCTCTGGACCCACACAATGTCTTCGGAATTACGGTAGGATTAATACTTTTCCTTAAAAAGCCTCCAGACCGACCTAAAGTCGATCAAAATCAGAGCCGTTTTTCATTGGTTTTGGAGCAGCAGTGGGGAGAAAAACGAATGACATTATGTGTTTTCAACTCGTCATAAATATTTTTCTGAAAGACACACATACACCAAAGTTGGCATAGTTGGAGTCGAAGGATGGCTGACGCTCACGGTGAAAGAATTTTTTGAATAACTCATACGGTTTTTGCTCAGCAGTCGTTTGTTCGGAGGACATTTTAAGCACCAGAAAGCTGGGTGAGAGGGACCTGCTGCAGCTAGCCCAATTAAAAGATCAGGTGTGAGAAAACGTTTTTTCTTTTTCTTTCTCTTCCCATTCAGGTTGTAAATGACCTACAGCCATGAAAGTTACTCCAATTGAAGACAAGATATAGCTGTAGCTTAGATAAAAATAATTTTTCTGATATCATTTATGGTTTTTACTCAGCAGTCGTTTGTTCGGAGGGGTGCTTTAGCAGCTTAAAGGTTAGTGAGAGTGAGGTCCTGCAGTTAAAACAAAGGGAGGAGCAGGTGGGATCAACCATATTGTTTGTGCTTCGTTTTGGGTTGTGAAAGACCTACAGACATGAAAGTTACCCCAGTCTGAGACAAAGGATAGATGTTTCTTTCACTGAAAGAATTTTTCAAATACCTTTTACGGTTTTTGCTCAGCAGTCGTTTGTTCGGAGGCTAAGCACCTGGAAGCTAGCTGACAGTTAGCTTCTGCAGCAGCCTGCTGCAGTGAAGCAGGCTGTCGTTTTTTTAAGATAAAACATTTTGTTCTTGCCTCACGGCCACATATTTGGAGCTACAGTCACCATTTTTGGTCAGTTTGTAGGCTGAAACCTCTGGACCCACACAATGTCTTCAGAATTACGGTAGGATTAATACTTTTCCTTAAAAACTCTCCAGACCGACCTAAAGTCGATGAAAATCAGAGCATTTTTCCATTGGTTTTGGAGCAGAAGAGGGGAGAAAAACGAATGACATTATGTGTTTTAAACTCGTCATAAATATTTTTCTGAATGACACACATACACCAAAGTTGGCATAGTTGGAGTCGAAGGATCGCTGACGCTCACGGTGAAGAAATTTTTTGAATAACTCATACGGTTTTTGCTAAGCAGTCGTTTGTTCGGAGCTGTTCCTCCCATTCAAAAAAGCCTGAGAGCGAAGGAACGACAGTGCTGCGCTTTTCTCTCTGTCACTGACAGGCTCGTTAAGCGTTGTCAAGGTAACCGTGCTTCAAAGAGATTTTACCTCTGCTGTTTTAAACAGCACATATTAATCTAATGGAGGGTGAAAGCACTGATTTAACATTGGGAAATGGATACTATATGACTGCTGTCCATGACACTTCCCTTGCCACTCAACACTGATAGACTTTCAAAATAAGACTCCAGGGACCCTACAAAATAAAAGCCTCTATATTTTTTACATATATTTATTGCCCTATATGGCTCAACATTATGACCCAAACTCAACCCCATTTTAGAGAATAGACTCTAGGAGACTGTTTAAAACACACCCTATGGCAAATTTCAAAATAAAAGCCTCCCATTTCCGCTTCATCTACTGCCCTAATAACATGGAAAAAGAGTGATTTAACGATTGGAAAGTCATCAACTATGATTGCGGGGTCTGAACATTTTCTCTAAACACAACTCTGTTGGACTTTCAAAATAAGACTCCAGGGACCCTACAAAATAAAAGCCTCTAGATTATACTAATGCAATAATTGATGCAAATGGCTCAACATTATGACCCAAACTCTTCCAGGTTGTTTTTATTAGACTCTAGTGACCTTTTCAAAACACACCCCAGAGCAAATTTCACAATAAAAGTCTCCCATTTACTCTGTAATACAGCAGCTATTCACCTAATAACATGGAAAACCAGTGATTTAACATTTGGAAATGGATTCTATATCAATGCTGGGCATGACCCATCTTTTGATGCACATCCATGATAGACTTTCAAAATAAGACTACAGGGACTCTACAGAATAAAAGCCTCTTCCTTATACACGCTCATACATTCTGGCATATTGCTCATAGCCATTTGTAATTTCATCACTGCAATGGCTCTTAGAAGGCGGCGGAGCCCGCCATTGGTGATTTCATCACTGCAATGGCTCTTAGAAGACGGGCGAAGCCCGCCAATGGTGATTTCATCACTGCAATGGCTCTTAGAAGGCGGGCGGAGCCCGCCAATGGTGATTTAATCACTGCAATGGCTCTTAGCAGGCGGGCGGAGCCCGCCATTGGTGATTTTTTTCATCGCTGCAAGGGCTCCTAGCAGGCGGGCGGAGCCCGCCAACTGCGCTTTACCCACTGCAGTTCAATATGGACAACCCATATTACCCTTATGCATCATATGCTGTGCATGTCTATTTCCCAGATTTCTGCACAAGTGGCACACAGCTCTCTTTGCCCATGACCTAGCCCTCTTTCCTTCCCTCAGCAGCCCTCAAAGGCGTAAGCAGTGGGTCTGGGGAGCCCCAATGTCACTTGCCAGGGCCGTATTGGCCCAGTTACCCAGACGGGCAGTAGGTGGCCCCCCTCAAAATTTCTTTAGAAATTTTCTAGTTGAGTAATTGCTACTAGTCCAGCATAACAACACCAACTTAAATAGCCACATAAATACAAAGCTATCTCAAGTTTAATCTATTTATTTTTTTGTTTAAATTATTGAATTGTCACATTGGTTGTATCTGATATATGTTTCAGGTACAACAAAAAATTAAGTACAATGACCATGTTTTTATATATACATTCAAGAGAAATCAAGTAGTGCTTACTTAATTAATTAATGAGTATTCCTTAAAATTTTGTTATCTCATCATTCCAATTTAAGTTGTTGTAAATGTTTACATAAACATTTTCAATTAAAAAAAGTCCATGCAAAAAGTAAACATATTAATTATAGTATATGCAACTAATTTTTCTCAGGTTGAGGGAAATAATGAACAGGAACCATATTTCACAATAAAAACTGTTTATTTTATGAACATTTTGTACAAATTAAGTGCAAATATTTTAATAACAGCACCATTGAAAACTTGCCATTTATAATTCTCTTATTTCATAGCTGTTTAACTTTCATTTCCATCTTTAATGATCTTTCTGTTGCAATTTTGGTCAATATTTTGTTTTTATGTGTTATAGTGTAGTTCTTTACTGTGTGTGTAATGTCTTTATAGTGTGTTATTGTCGTGTAGTTTGTCACAGTATGTAATGTGTGTAGTATGTGTTTACAGTGTAGTGTTAAACTAGTTAAACAGCTCTAACCAAGTTGAGTCAGTGACTTTAAACGACTGTGACTCTTACTGAGGTAGGACATTTCTGCATTATTGGCAAAATGAATGTGGCAAAATGAATGAACTATTTGTATGGATAACCATAAAGGCAAATATATCACCGCCAAAAAACATTTAACATTCTGGGTCAGCTGAAAACAATACACTCACCAATATTCTAGCTCTCAAACATGACTATCAACATCAAAGACCTGAATAACATGAACAGCAACCAGATGTGGGTTGAAAGACATTACACTGCATAAATTAGGAAAAGCCACTTGAACAGCAAGTCCATCACAGCACAAATGAGGTTCCCATTGTTTATGTTCAGCTATGAGGCTCAAAGGGGTTTCCTAGCAGCTTTTGCTTTAGAGATGTGACTTTTGGGCTGCATTTCTGACTGTCTAATTTAAGGAACACCTTCTGAAATACCTCGCAAGTGTACTTCAGCTCCCGTGGGTAGCTTAGATTGAGGGCATAAATGAGGCCCATCAGCAAAGCACAGGCCCTTGGCACATCCAATCCTTGCAGGACCTCTGTGCCCTCTATGATGATGGTTGTGCTGGCTGGATCAGATGCTGTAGTACCTTTGGTGACTAGAATCTTCACCACCCGACTCTCAAAATCTCCAATTTGGCTCTCAGAATCCTGAAAGCAAGAATATCAGAAACAAATCTCAGTATCAGTATATCATTAAGCTGGCACACTCAATACTATAATTAAAAAAAAACATAAAATGTCCTGTAATGTCCTGGTATCTAATGACTGCGAGTCAGAATTTCTAAGACTAAAACTATATGTACAGACAATGTCCTGTTGATGGTGCCTGTAGCCACAGCCATGAAAAATATATTCTGGTTTTTACTTGTTTCTTGTTTTAACATAATGAAAGGCATACATATGGAAGGCAACATATGGAAGAGTATTAGGGCCACTGGAACACAACATCTAAGGGATAATTTTTGACATTTTTCTGGAATGAATAAAAAGACAAAAGTACTCTCAATTTTTATATTTTAAGTGGCCGTAATACTTTTCTGAACAAATGTAAAAGTTCTCTTGAGAAAATAAAAAGCAAAACAAGTTTTTACTATATTTCTATTCAGGACATGTGCAAAGAAAAAAAGTTAGTTTGTCCCTTTAGTTTACTAAACACTGAACAAGCAGCAGCAAAAACAAACAAGGACAGGGTAGGGAGAGACAGATACTGGTAAGAGATTCACAAAGACAGTATGAAAGGAAAGTTCCATTTCACTTCAACTTCAAGGTGTTGCAAAGGGATCCACTTTCACCTACCACATATTCAAAAAGACTGTCCTCATTTTCCCCAAGGTAGACCACTAAGCAGCGAATGGCAACCTCTCGGCGAATTTCAACTGTGTTGATCTGATGGAGGATTCAAAGAAAAAAGGTCAATTAGGTGTTTTTTAAATATTTTTTTTTTTTTTACAACAGTTAGTTTTTATCTCCTATTGTAAATAGCATATCAGGTACCTTCAGAAGTTCCATGATTTTCTGGATCTTATGTTTGGCAGCCCCTCCTCTTGACATCACCAATGGCATCAACTTTGGTATACAATGGTCCAGATTTGCCATAAATGTTGACTCCAGATTGGCAGTGGTTATTCTTTTATATTCTTCCTTGATCTGTATGACACAAAACAGAGCAAGATGGTACAACAGATATTAGAAGTCATGTTCCTGCCAAACTACCTATTCTAAATACAACAAAATTCTAAAATATTAACCTGCTCAGGAAGAAATAGAGCAGGCCATCGTTCCTTCAAGTCCCTGACAGATGGAGCCAAGGTGACAATTTCTTGTCTCCGAGAGGAAAAGGTCCTGTCCATTTTCTCACTGATGATCTGGGAATTGTCTCTCTTCTTTACTTCACCTAGAAGTTCCAGTCTTTGTTGCTCAAGGTTTTCTTTGGTTTCTCCTAGTGGATGAGGTGGCAGGTAGTTCGCCTCACCCTTTCGAGCTTTCTTCATGTTTTTTGCTGGCATCTTCTCATTGGCTCGCTTTTTTTGGAGAGAGTTAACCTCTAGCTCAGGGCACCCAAGACCCCTAAGTTTTGATCTATAATTGCCCATTTTAAATTTCAGTCTTTGTTGCCATCCGTAACATCCATTGTAGGACCCTGGTTCTTTCAGGCAAGGGTGTTTTTGGATCAGTGCTTCTGCTACATCAGCAAATTGTGCACTTGTAGGATAGGCAACATACTCAAAGATGCTTTCGGCTAAACTCTCAAGGATGTCTGGTAGAATGGCAGTGGAGCTGAGTGGGCATCCATCTTTATTGAAAGCTTCATTACCAGCTGCTAGGACAAGCTCTGTCTCATTGCGGAAACGTGGTATTGGAAATTTGGAGGGCCAAGATTTTAAGCGCAAATTTCCATGATCAGGTGATAACAAGATAATTGTATCACCTGATTCAGATGAAGCAGTACTGGCAGCCGTAGCAGAGCTGCTGGATGAACCTCTGTCTGAGATGCTGGCTGCACCCGCGTCAGATCTATCGAGGTCAGTTACAACAAATTGGATTGAGGAGAGATCAACAATATGGACAACCTTAATTGTGTCTTTATCTTTAAGATCTTTGGTTGATGCAAGAGAAAAAAATTCTCCTCCAAAATCAACATCCTTGTAATGTAAGATAAACTTCCCTGCTTCCAATCTATATTTCTGTTGTACAATAGACTGTAGCTCATCCACTGTGTCTGGTACTCCATAAGGCAGTTCAAGCTTGTCAATTATATGGTCTTGAACAATAACACGAAGTATAGCAGGTTTTCTCAGATGAGATGTTTGAGCATCTGTTAAGAAAAAAAAAAAAAACATTAAGTGACTCTAATATGGGACACAATATGTGAATATTGCAACATCTTTATCCTAAAGTTTTGCTAGCATACATTTCACATTTTTGGAGGCATGTTAGCAGAACCTCTTTACAAATACCATACCTGGAACATCAGAATCAGTAAAATCCATTTCCTCATTTATTGCATGCAGTATTCTTTCAGCAGGGGAAATACTTTCTGAAAATGTATAGCATAAAGAGAATAAAACAGTAAATACTTTCTTATCAGCTGCATTGTATCAACTTGTAAAAATGTGTCAATTTAGCAGTCCAGTCTATGCCATTGAGCACAATGTGAGTTTGTACCTTGGGATTGCTTGTTTGCTGTGAAATCTGCCATCTTTTGCTATCACTAGATAACACAAAGACAATGTGAAAAAAAAATCTATCTATGGCAAGTAAATGAATCGCTTCAGAGTGACCATACGCTTCTCTGCAATGGTGTATGCAGCTAAAGGGAATATATCAGACAACTGAGCTGGCTCAAGAACTGTAATAGTTCGTGTATTCTCAAGCTCATAGCTGCCAAGGTGCTCGATGTACCAAGCATATAAGCATTCCACAATAAATCCAGGTTTACCATCAACAACAACAACAACAACAACATCAACAACAAAATCAGGGAGACCACTTGTTGATCCATTTGCTAAGATCATTCCAGTGGCATATCTAGTTCCACTGTAACACACTGTGTTAGCCAAGTGAATACAAGACTTATTAGGGTACTTGGCTTCCACTGCTGCCTTGATGTCCTCTCTCAGCACAGTCAAATCTACCTCTGACAGTTTGGTCACCTGTAATGAAGGCTGGACAACCTTTCTGTCATGTAGATGATAGGCAATCATCATCTGATGCTTCACTGAGAGAGAGAGAAGAATGTTGCGGAAAGAGTGAGTATGTCTGACAACACGTTTAAAGAAACTATGTTTAGCTTCAAACCTCATTGTCCACAGTGACACAAGTGGTCCAAAAGCCTTTATCAACTGAGGATAATGTTCTATGTAATGATGCTTTGGAGTAAGTCTTTGACCAGGAAAAGCTTCACAGAATCTGTGGCGATGCTCTGATATCTTACTGTCCAAGAAACAAATAGTCTCATCTGTATGGACTGGGGCTACAACAAGTTCTACTATGTCCTTGAGGTTGAGAAGAACCTGCCATGTTGGGTCACTCACCGGTATCCTTGTGCCAATGATGAAAGGAAGGAGTCGCAGCAAAGCCCAATTTTCATGTGCATTCCCACCAACAGTTTTTTTAACAGCAAAATTAAGGGGTACTGGTTGTGGTGCGTCCTTCTTGTCTGTCCACTTATAAGGAAACTCTCTGATCAATTTATTCAGCTCTGAGAGAGTGAAATATTTCTTCTTAATTAAGGTATCTAGGCACAATGCTACTTCTTTTGGTATGACACCTTCAAAAAGATCATGCAGCAAATCAGGGGGATAGCCTGACAGAACATCAAAATACTTAAGTTTTTCTGTTAGTGGACATTGTCGCTTTACGCCACAGCTATGGAACCCACTCAGCTGTGCAGTCTGAACATGCACTGTGTGGTCTTCTTTGATCCGGGGAATGAATTTTCCGGTTCGAACCTCACAGTCTTGCAATTTGGAGCGTTCTCCAAGACACCATCTGCAGAAATATGAACCTGAGAAACTCTCAACAAATCCACTGACAGAATGAGCTCCAAGGTTATCGGCAATGACAGAAAAGACAGTACCTTTAACTTGTCTGCCAAGAGAGGGAATGTAAAGTCCATCCTCCTCAAGACGACCAAGGTCTTTGAGAAGTGGGTCCAACACAACATTATATCCATATTGTTTTATGTCCTCAGCTTTGCATAGAATGGCTAAAAATATTGAGGTCAGTGAAGACCGGAGCAATGGTGGTACATTTGCAAGAACCCAATAAACAGCAGTGATTTTGTGCTTTTTTCTCGATGTTCCAAGTGGATTGCACACTTCAAACTCATCCACATATAAATTGAGAGCTATTGCTAGATCATTTTCAGAGAATAATTTATTAGCTTTAAAGTGGGTACCATCATGAAATGAAGTGTACTGAGTTTCTGTGTTCTGTGCTTTTTTACCACTGTTCATGAGGAAATCCTGCATTTCCTTCTTCTTAAAAATCTCAGATAAAGACTTCAGAATAGGTACATACTGATAGCTTCTTCGCTCCCTGGCATTAAGCACATATTCAACTGGCTCTACCACAGAGAAATTCTCCTTAAAATACTCATTTCTCTTGTAGGCGGTAGACAGAGGACCATCACTCCTCAATGCTTGGCTGATGGGGTTGGATTTGCAGAGTTCTGTTACAATGTCAGTGATCACAGAATCATCAAGTTGACATTTATGCTTTGCAAAGCAAGACTGCAAAACGTCTTTCATAGCAGGGCCAGATGCAGAGCTAGAAATAAAGTTAAGTTCTTCAACCATCTCAGTAATACACTGTTTCGGAACATTAGATATGCTTTCCAATTTCAGAAAAAGGTGGGCAAGATTAGCTTCAATTATGCTGGGCAATTCTTTCCGTTCTTCATCATAACCCTCTCCACACTCAATATCTTCATCATCATCAGGATCATCTCCTACATTAACTGGATTCACATGCCTGTGCACAAGCTCAGCCTTGAAGTCATCCAGTGAGTGTGGAGTGTGTTTGCGTGTCCTGTGAGAGGCGAAAGTACCATAAATGTTCGTTTTGAAATCGCAGTTTTCAAAAACGCATGTGATTGTTTCATGTTTTTTTAAATGCCGACCAATATGCTCAAAGTACTCCCTCTCTGTGGTGATGGAGCTTAGGGTACAACATGGACATTTAAAAGACAAGACATCTTTCACATTTGCCGCTTTATAAGATGAATGACTTCTTGTCATGTGTGATTTAAGACTGGCCCATGTTTTGAAAGAGCAATAGCATTCCCAATAAATACAAGGCAGAATTTGCGCACAATGCACATGTCGTAGCCTGTAGTGTTTCAAAAGCTCAGTCTTTCTGGCAGTTTCATATTTACACATTTTACAACACCAGTTCATTGTGAACAGGATTCAGTGAAAACGTTCTAAACACTGCTTAACAATAAACCACTCAAAATGAATCAATCTACAATCAATGGCTTGCTAGCGAGCGACTGTAATGGTGGCGGGAAGGCTTACTTACCAAAGTGGCATGGGCAGCCACGTTGTAGATTAATGGTCCTCCAGCAATGATTAAGATCCCCAAAGATGACTTGTCAGCTGTTCCAAAGTGCAAAAAATGAAATTCCAACGCAGATAGTAGCTCTGTACAAACAAGCAGACACGAGTGCGTCGACTTTCCCAACCGGGTGCACGTTGAGTATCGTCTGCTGCTTGAGTAGCCACACCCGTTTCAAAAAAAGTTTCAAAAAAATTTTTTGAGCTGACCCAACTTAAAATTTGAGGCAAATTGAGCTGATGCGCTTTAATGCATTCAAATTACACAGGAAAATGAGTCTGGATATTTTCTTATTTTTCAAGTTGGTTTATTTAGATTAATCAAGCTGGTTACTTAGTTTAACAAATAAAAGCTGCAAACTTAAATGTTTATATTGAAATTGCGCATTTATTTTAGCTGAATTTACTACCCCCATGCTTTATTCTTTAGAGTGTGCTGGCAAAATGGCAAGGCCCGTATGAAATCCAGAGCAGACTGGGACAAACAACCTACAACATTGCCATTCCAGATCAGCCCCGCTCCACCAGAGTACTTCATGTCAACCTGCTTAAAGAATGGGTGAAGAGACCAAAGGCAGATGTTTTTCTTATTCAGGAGGTTCTAGAGGAGGAGGAAGAGGATACTCAATGTCTGCCAAAACCCTCACCTCAGTTCCTAGACCTGAATCACCTCTCTGAGGAAAAGCAAGCTCAGGTAAGAGATCTTTGTAAACCAAACATGTTCCAGGGAAATCCTGGTAAAACAGAACTTGTCCAACATGACATTGTATTAAAAAATGGAGCTTTTGTGAGAAGACTGAGTTACAGAATACCTGAGCGCCTGTTGGTTTCCTTAAAAGAAGAAGTTAACCTGATGCTGTCACTTGGAATTATTGAACCATCAAGGAGTAAGTGGTGCCACCCAGTGGTTCTGGTGCCAAAGAAGGACGGCAGCATACGTTTCTGCATTGATTTCAGGTAAGCCAGATATTTAACAACCATAGATCTCTGCAAGGGTTATTGGCAGGTACCCCTGACGGACCGTTCAAAAGAACTGACTGCTTTCCGGACCCCCTGAGGCCTGTTCCAGTTTAAAGTCATGCCATTCGGATTACATTGTGCCCCGGCAACATTCCAGAGATTGATGGATCAGGTACTGTCTGACATGTCTAATTTTGCTGCGGCCTATCTTGATGACATAGTCATTTTCCGTTCTACCTGGGAAGACCACCTGAAACACCTGGAGAGGGTGTTGGAGCGCCTCCAATCTGCAGGGTTGACTATTAATCCAGCCAAGTGTGCAATTGCCAAGGCGGAAACTGAGTACCTTGGGTTTGTGATCGGAAATGGAGTGATAAAGCCTCAAATTAATAAAATTGCAGCTATAGAATCTTGTGCTCTGCCTGAGATTAGAAAGCAGTTAAGATCCTTTTTGGGTATGGCAGGATTCTACCATCGTTTTATCCCTCATTTCTCAGGCAGGGCCGCTCTACTAACAGACCTCACTGGTTCCCGAAGCCCCCATAAGATCATCTGGACGGAGGAGGCCAAGACAGCTTTCCAGGATCTGCGACAATCTCTCAGTAAGAGTCCAGTCCTGCACAGCCCTGATTTTGAAGGAAATTTTATTCTTCAGACTGATGCCTCTGAGAGAGGTTTGGGTGCCGTTCTGTTACAGGGATCACATGGAGATCGCCATCCAGTGGCTTTTATTAGCCGCAAACTCTTTCCAAGGGAAGTGCGATATTCAACTATTGAAAAAGAGGCACTGGCCATCAAATGGGCCCTGGATTCCTTCCGGTACTACCTTCTTGGGAGAGAGTTCACCTTAGAAACTGACCACAAAGCTCTGCAATGGATGGAGAAGATGAAAGATACAAATGGAAGGATTACGCGCTGGTACCTTGCAATCCAGCTGTTTCGATTCACCATCCACCATATCCCTGGCAAGGACAACTGCATTGCGGATTGTCTCTCTCGCTGCCCCAGCAAGAGATTTGAAGAGGGGGAGTGTGCGTTTCCCCCTTTGTATCTTCTATGTGGCCTGATCAGCCAGTATTTAAGTTTTCCCTTTGTGTCATGTAGCAGGTCTGTTTGTTTCAGTAGGTCTTTTTGTTAGCCTGAGTTAAATTCTGTTACTTTGACCTCTTTTATGGGCCCAACTTTGTAATTTGTCCTTTATTGACCCAGTTTTTTGTTTTGGGTTCAATAAAAAGAAGACTTTTTTGGATCTAAACCTGTGCCTGATCTTCCTTTGACTGCTCAGACCATCACACAGTTACTTTTTGAAATTTGCATTGTCCTATTCTCTAGCTCTTTCTCCGCCTCAAGCTTCTTTTCCAAACAACTGCTTTATGATCAATTGCAGCAGTTCCGCGCAAATTAATCGTGTCAAAAAATTGTCACTTTTTAAACACCACAATGTATTAAATAAATACAAATGCGGGGAACCAATTCTTTTTTTACATTTATTTAATATTTTGTTCTATTCAGCTACACAATCATCCCCTTTAAACTACAAAGAATTGTACTATAAATGTGACTTTACCCGATTCTTATGTACACCTTAGTAAATTATTGATATGTCGCACTATGGCTGCGTCTCAATTCGATTGCAGGATAGCGGGCTGGGATGAGGATTTTGAAAGAGTTTATAAAGTGGAAGCAGGACGCTGATTGGGCTTCGTGGTGGAGTAGTACGAAGCTGATTGGCTCGCTTCAGAGACGGATCAGCTTCTGATTGATGGAGGTAAGTCAGAGTTTCTTCAATTGAACTTCCGCTAGAGCTTCATTTCAATCTGAAAAACTCACACAGAGAGAAAAGATAATTAGAAGAATTTATTGAAGAAAGTATAGTCTTTGGCGCTCAGACCTCGGCAGGAACATTCATGCTGAATTATGCTTTAACATGCATGAGTAGATGAATGTAAATAGGGATGTTCCCCCAAAAAGCCGAGGTCGAGGCCGGAGAGTCCGTATGCTCGTAGGGAATACACTAGGGACAGAATAAAAATTGCGTAATGAAATGCTGAGAAGGTTTGTAAACAACTTACCGAGCCAGGTTGTTGATGATGACTTACCGATGACGATGGTGATGACTTACCGATGATGATGACGATGATGATGAACCCATGATGATGATGACGATGATGATGATGACGATGATGATGAACCCATGATGATGATGAACCCATGATGATGATGATGATTTACCCATGATGATGATGATTTACCCATGATGATGATGATGAACCCATGATGATGATGATTTACCCATGATGATGATGATGAACCCATGATGATGATGATGAACCCATGATGATGATGATGAACCCATGATTTACCCATGATGATGATGATGATGATTTACCCATGATGATGATGATGATGATGATTTACCCATGATGATGATGATGATGATGATGATGATTATGAGCCCATGATGATGATGATGATGATGATTATGAGCCCATGATGATGATGATGATTATGAGCCCATGATGATGATGATGATGATGATCCCATGATGATGATGATGATGATGATCCCATGATGATGATGATGATGATGATGATCCCATGATGATGATGATGATGATGAACCCATGATGATGATGATGAACCCATGATGATGATGATGAACCCGTGATGATGATGAACCCGTGATGATGATGAACCCGTGATGATGATGAACCCGTGATGATGATGAACCCATGATGATGATGAACCCGTGATGATGATGAACCCATGATGATGATGATGAACCCATGATGATGATGATGATCCCATGATGATGATGAACCCATGATGATGATGAACCCATGATGATGATGAACCCATGATGATGATGAATCCATGATGATGATGATGAACCCATGATGATGATGATGATCCCATGATGATGATGAACCCATGATGATGATGAACCCATGATGATGATGAATCCATGATGATGATGAACCCATGATGATGATGATGAACCCATGATGATGATGATGATCCCATGATGATGATGAACCCATGATGATGATGATGATGATTTACCCGTGATGATGATGAACCCATGATGATGATGAACCCATGATGATGATGAACCCATGATGATGAACCCATGATGATGATGAACCCATGATGATGATGATGAAGATTTACCCATGATGATGATGATGATTTACCCATGATGATGATGATGATGATGATTTACCCATGATGATGATGATGATGATTTACCCATGATGATGATGATGATGATGATGATGAAGACGACTTACCCGTGATGATGATGCTAACCCAGGATGATGATGATGATGATGACTTACTCATGATGATGGTGATGACTTACCCATGATGATGATGATGATGATGATGATGATGAAGACGACTTACCCGTGATGATGGTGATGACTTACCCATGATGATGATGATGATGATGAAGACGACTTACCCGTGATGATGATGATGCTTACCCAAGATGATGATGATGATTACCCAATATGATGATGATGATTACCCAAGATGATGATGATGATGATGATGATGATGATGATGACTTACCCATGATGATGGTGATGACTTACCCATGATGATGGTGATGACTTACCCATGATGATGATGATGACTTACCCATCATGATGATGATGACTTACCCATCATGATGATGATGACTTACCCATGATGATGATGATGATGACTTACCCATGATGATGATCTTGCGGATGAGTTTGATAATGATCTTGCGTATGATTCTTGCGGATGATGACATATATGAACGAAAGACATGACGAAATACAGACGCATGACGAGACGCAGACATGGTTTATATTGGTGCATTAGGGAATGCATCAAAATGGCGTAAAAAGCATGACGAGACGTAGACCAGACACGACGAGACACACAAGGGAAGGCATGTTGCTGCCTGACATAAGGTGAGATGATGATGAATCTTGCGGATGAGTTTGATGATGATCTTGCGGATGATTCTTGCGGATGACATAGAACATATATCTTGCGGATGATTCTTGCGGATGACATAGAACATATATCTTGCGGATGATTCTTGCGGATGACATAGAACATATATCTTGTGGATGATTCTTGCGGATGACATAAAACATATATCTTGCGGATGATGACATATATGAACAAAAGACATGACGAAATACAGACGCATGACGAGACGCAGACATGGTGCATATTGGTGCATTAGGGAATGCATCAAAATGGCGTAAAGAGCATGACGAGACGTAGACCAGACACGACGAGACACACAAGGGAAGGCATGATGCTGCCTGACATAAAGGTTAGATTGCACGTATAAGCCAGAATTAAGACAGCATAAGTATAGCAGGGAGACAGCATGAAGGCTGCACAAAGCAAGAATGTTGATAACTGATGAGTAGGAGGAGGAGAAGACGAGCTAGAGGATGGGCATGGTTAGGTCAGGTAATGATGA